TCTTTCCCTCCTTAAAGCCTGCACATAATATTGCCTCTACCTGAAACACTTTCCCCACTACTCTGCCCATTCATCTTTTAGGTCATAATTTAATTTTACTTCTCAAGAAAAAAAACCTAATTATTCACAAAATAATAAAAATTCAGTTCTACATAGAGGGTCTTCATTGACCTCCTTCACTGATCTAAATAAGGCCTCCCACTATAGTATCCTATCATAATACACTTCCCTAAGTTAACACATCAATGTTTGTAAATACATATTTAATTGGATTATTTGTTAGACACCTCTCCAATACATTGTAATCTTTGAGAGGAGGAACAAGTCTACTTTTCTAATACTATACCCCCAGATCAAACAGTATCTGACACAGAAGGTGCTCAAATTTGTTGAATGAATGAATACCACAGATATGAAAAATACTTAGAAATATTAATATGTACAGCTTTATACTAATAAATTTTAAATTAAGTGATTTTACAAAAAAAAATTACTGAAATTAATTCAGGAGGAGATTGGCAAATCCATATAAACCAGTAACTATGAAGTCATTGAAAAAGTTAGGAGAGGTACATTTTTAAGGTAAAGACAAATTATCTTTATTTGCAGATAGCATGATTGTTTAGAGAATAAACTGTAAAACTATTAGATCTAACAAGATAATCTGGTAAAGTATCCTATTACATGATAAATATACAAAAATTATTAGCTTTCATATACATCATCAGTAAGCAGTTTAAAAATCTAATTTTAAAAATGCCTTATCTTGGGGCTTCCCTGGTGGCGCAGTGGTTGGGAGTCCGCCTGCCGATGCAGGGGACACAGGTTCGTGCCCCGGCCTGGGAAGATCTCACATGCCGCGGAGCGGCTAGGCCCGTGAGCCATGGCCACTGAGCCTGCGCGTCCGGAGCCTGTGCTCCGCAACGGGAGGGGCCGCAACAGTGAGAGGCCCGGGTACCGCAAAAAAAAAAAAAGTGAAGGAGAAATAAGGACTTTCCCAGACAGACAAAAATTGAAGGAATTTGTTGCCAGGAGACCAGTCTTGAAAGAAATGTCAAAAATTCTTCAGAGAGAAGGAAAAATAATGTAGGTCAGAAACTCAGATCTACATTTAAAAAGATTATTGGAGAATGAATAAAGATAAAATAAAAACTTATTTTTCTTAATTTATCTAACAGACAACATTTGTTCGTGCCCCGGTCCGGGAAGATCCCACATGCCGCGGAGCGGCTGGGCCCGTGAGCCATGGCCGCTGAGCCTGCGCGTCCGGAGCCTGTGCTCCGCAATGGGAGAGGCCACGGCAGTGAGAGGCCCGCGTACCGCAAAAAAATAAAAAAATATAAAAATAAATAAACAAGGTCCTACAGCACAGAGAACTATGCTAAATATCCTGTGATAAACCATAATGGAAAAGTATATGAAAAAGAAGATATGTATATGTCTAACTGAATCACTTTGCTGTACAGCAGAAATTAACATTGTAAATCAACCTTGCTTCAATAAAATAAAAAAAAAGTTCAGTCACTAGTAATTAAAGAAATGTAAACTACTAGACATACTTCATTAAATTGACAGATAAAAATGATACAGTAAGGGTGAAGGAAAATAGTCATTCCTTAGGAAGTGCTGTTGGAGTATAAATTGTTATGATCTATAACTCTTCTGGAGATCAGTTTGGCAGTGGTATCAAAAGCCTTAGAAGTGTGTATGCCTTTTAATGTAAAATACCACTGGTGGAATCTACTCAAAGCATGTATAGAGATAAACAGTGATCTTGCAACAAGGCTGTTCATTACATCATTATTTATCATAGCCAAAAAAAAAAAAAAGGAAATCTAAATGTTCAGCAACAGAGTTATCTAAAACTATGGTATTTTTGTAAAAAGAAGTTCTAGTAAGTCATTTCACTAGAAATCACATAGTGATTTCCCTGGCAGTCCAATGGTTAAGACTGTGCCTTCCAATGCAGGGGATGCGGGTTCAATCCCTGGTCGGGGAGCTAAGATACCACATGCCTTGTGGCCAAAAAAAACAAAACATAAAAAACAGAAGCAATATTATAACAAATTCAATAAAGACTTTAAAAAATGTTCCACATCAAATAAAATAAAAAGTCACATAAATATATCTATTGATAAGCAATAGATATATTGTCTGAAAAAAGCAAGTTAACAAACCTGTCAAAAAAGTTTTGTCTGCATATATATGTAGGCCTGGAAAGAGAGACAACAGAGCTTCGGTAGCAATTGTCTTTGGAGACGAAAGCAGATTAAATTGTTTTTCTGTTGAACATATGTTACCTTTGTTAATAAGGAAAAATAAAGAGAAACTTCATGTTTAAACATTACAGTAAAAATAGTAAAAAGTGGAAGCATAATACAGTTACTGAAAATTATAATTATGAAAACTTTGAGGAATGAGCCAAATGGAAAAGGAGTAAAAATGTTATTTATGCTTTAACTGTCATATATGTATATTGAAAAAACAGAAGGAAACATAGTGAACATAATTTATTAAGATGGTAGGATTGTAGGCAATTTTTCCTCTTGGTAAATTGTGAAATATTTTTTTTAAATAAAAATTTGTAGCAGATTTTGAACCCAGTTTATTCAAGCTTCATAGTCATGAAAATGTAGAGACCAGTGGCAGTGCCAAGAGATGGATGGTAGGGCGAGGGCTCAGTTTTAAGCCTTCAATAATCATCACCAGTTATCTCCTATGAGGTTTCAACAAAGCAAACTTATACACCAAGAAACTCAGCTTCAAGAGAAGTTCCCTTATGCAGAGATTCTGGACCCCAGTAATGGAGACAGTCCCCACATTAACACCACAGACCCTGAGTCTATTTTCCTATGTTATGCATTTTCTTTTTTTTTTTCCTTAAGATTTTTGTTTGGTTGTTTTTTGGGTTTTTTGTTTGTTTGTTTTAGTTTAAGGTTCACAGCAAAATTGATGGGAACAGAATTTTGCCATATACTCCTGGCCCCCACACATGTATAGCCTCCCCCATTATCAGCATCCCCCACCAGAGTGGTATATTTGTTACAGCTGAACCTACATCGACATGCCATTAGCACCAAAGTCCATAGTTTACATTATGGTTCACTCTTGGTGGTGTACATTCCATGGGTCTGTGTTATGCATTTTCAAAATCTTCTTTAAACACATTGTCTAGGCTTGCTTTGACCCCTCTCTTATTCCTGGGTTTCAGAACCATGTGTGATCAGTACTGCATCTCCTTTGCTGATGTTGAAAAAGCACATATCAACATTCGAGATTTTATCCACCTCACACCAGTGCTAACAAGCTCCATTTTGAATCAAGTAACAGGGCGCAATCTTTTCTTCAAATGTGAACTCTTCCAGAAAACTGGATCTTTTAAGGTAACAATCCCTTTTGATAGTGTATCATGTTTCTTTTCAAGCCACTTTGATTCTCTTGACCACCCAGTGAGGTAGGTACAATTAATATCTTTTTACAGCTAAAGGAAGTGTTGTAGAAATTTTCCTTTGCTCAAGTCCTGGTTACTTAGCATCATGGCATTGACAAGAGCCACTTTTACACAATCTCAAAATTCCGTATAATTAAGCTGATCATATAATTTACATATAATTTACTATCCAAACTAGGACATGTTTGAGAATGAAAAGGGGGAACTTCTAACGATTAAGCCGAGACCACAGTCATCAACCTGGACACGTGTGATCACCCTGTATATAGCCAAGTCTAAGCATTCACTTTGTCAACTTACTATTTGTTTATACCTTATTATGAATATAAACAATCTAACCCTAGCTCAACCCTCATATAACAGGACCTTTTTCTACAAAATACGTCAGTGCCTCTCCTATGCATACAGATAGATTTCTGTGCTGATTTGTTACCAGAATTCTCTGACCGTTAGTTGAACTTTAAGATCCATTCAGGTAAAAATCTGAAAAGCTGCATTTTGCACTGTGCCTAACAGGTATTATTAGTACCCATTAAGTGGTAGCTTTAGGATTTCAGGAATTTACCTTTTTCCATACCCATTAACTGAGAACTTTTATTTTAAACAAACAAAAACTTCTCCATTCTCTTTTGCCCTTTGCTTTTGCCATGGTTTATTTTTCATTCATCACACATCAAGCACTTATTTTCACCAACTATACTAGGTATATGTACACTAGGCCTTGCCCCATATCCATACTTGCAGGGGAAGATAAAATAGGTTGATGACAAGTGTCTTAAAAGAGTTACAAACAAGGGCCATGGAAACGAATGAAGTACCTAATTTTGCCTGGGAGAACAAGGAGGTTGAACCAGGTGGTGTTTGATCCAAGTTTTATAGGATGAGTACTCTTAGCCGGATTAGGGAGTGGAGGGAAAGAACTACAGGTAGAGGCATCAGCATGCCAAGAGGTACAGAGTTGTGAGCTAACCTGGTAGGATGGAGACTAGAGGCAATTTAGGATGGCTACAACGGTAGAGGTAGATATGTTTAGAAAGGCTGCAGCTTGTAAGGGATTTGTACTTTTCTTACAAAAATAGGCAATCAATGAAAAAGGTAACGTTTGTTTTTTAAAAGCTCACTTTCCTAATCTAGTGGAACTATTAGATGAGAATAATCCTTGAGGCAGGATCAGCTGAGATTTGGTGATACCAAGTTGAGAAATGAGGCCTCACCAAGGTAGTGGCCAAGATGAACATGAGATATTTATGAGATAGACTCAGTAAGATTTAGTCATGGAGTGGATGTGCAGTATTGGAAGAGAAAAATGTTAAAAAGCTCCTTGGTTTTTTGAAAAGAATTTTTAATCAAATATATTAATTCACCATTCCTCTTTCCCAGATTCGTGGTGCCCTTAATGCAATCAGAGGCTTGATTTCTGCCACTTCAGAAGAGAAGCCCAAAGCTGTTGTTACTCACAGCAGTGGAAACCATGGCCAGGCTCTCTCCTATGCTGCCAAATTGCAAGGTACTTTAATTTCCCAGGGTACTGGGTAGGTTCATCAGAGAGGACTGGAAAAGCAGCCTTAACTTTCAGTGAGGTTGGTGATAGCTGAGGGAATAAATTTCCAAGTCCCTGATTACAAGCAAACTGAACATAAATTTCTATCCTAATTTCTGATTTGTACTAACGAAACATGCTTCTCCCTCCAGGGATTCCTGCTTATATTGTAGTGCCTGAAACAGCTCCCAACTGTAAAAAATTGGCGATACAAGGCTATGGAGCCTCTATAGTATACAGTGAACAAAGCGACGAGGTAAGGAAGAGAGCAATGTTCAGTACCACCTTAACAGCTTTCATAGTAAAATGAAACTTCTCTTCCTACCTTACTGGCTGCAGCTTCTGTCTCCTTTGTTGTTTCTCTAAGTGTTGGCACGCACGACCTTTTCTCTACCTACACTCACTCAGATGATCTCATTAGTCTCATAGTTTAAAACATCACCTACACTCTAACTCCAGCCCTGAACTTTGCTCTTAACCAGGACTTGTACATTCCCACTTGGGTGCCTTAATAGGCATCTCAACCTTACTGTCTAAAACCAAACTCCTCATCTTAATACTGTTCCACCTCCAGTCTTCCCCATCTCAGTAAATGGCAACTTTTATCCTTCATTATCCTCAAAACATGGAGTTATCTTTGATAACTCTGATACCCCACATCCAAATGTTAGTCCTACTTTCAAAATATTTCCGTAATCCACCTTTTTTTTTTTAATTCATTAATTTATTTTTGGCTGAGTCGGGTCTTCGTTGCTGCGCGCGGGCTTTCTCTAGTTGCCGTGAGTGGGGGCTACTCTTTGTTGCGGTTCACGGGCTTCTCATTGCGGTGGCTTCTCTTGTCGCAGAGCACAGGCTCTAGGCGCGTGGGCTTCAGTAGTTGTGGCTCACAGGCCCCAGAGGGCAGGCTCAGTAGTTTTGGTGCACTGGCTTAGTTGCTCTGCAGCATGTGGGATCTTCCCAGACCAGGGCTCGAACCCGTGTCACCTGCATTGGCAGGTGGATTCTTAACCACTGCGCCACAAGAAAAGCCTAATCCAACTACTTCTAACAGCCTCTACCTTCACCACCCTGATTCAAACCAATGTCAGTCCTCACCTAGATTCAGTAGCCTCCTAATTGGTCTCTGCTTCCACCCTTGCCCCACAAGTCTTGTTTCCAAAAGAGCAACCAGAGCTATCCATTTGGTAAGTCAGAATGTGTCTGTCAGCCCAGAATCCTCCAGTGGTTCCCCATCTCATACACAGTGGAAACCAAAGTTCTTGCAATCATCTATGGCCCGGATGAACTGGCCCATTCCTATTTTTCTGACTTCATCCCCCACTATTACTCTCCTCCAAACACGCCACACAAGCTACACTTGGTTTCTCAGAAAGCCAAGCACTCCTCTCTATAGTCTCTGTACTTGCTGTTACTCTTTCCTTGGAATGTTCTGGAGGTACACAGGACTTGTTCAAATCTATTAAAATGTCACTTTACCAGTGGCCCTTCCCGAGCACCCTATATAAAATAAATTCATTTTTCTCTGAAGCATTTAGACATACCATATATTTACTTATATTCCACCCCTCCTCACCATATTAGAACATAACTCCACTGAGTGCAGGGACTGTTTTGTTCGGTTATATCCCCAGTGCCAAAACAAATTCTGAAAAAAGTAGATGGCAAATAAAGTGTTAAATGACTGAATCTAACTTGTTGGGAACTCTATTAAATACAAATAAAGTAAGCTAAATTAATGTACTCTTTCAGTCCAGAGAAAATGTTACAAGAAGAATTGTGGAAGAAACAGAAGGCATCATGGTACATCCCAACCAGGAGCCTGCAGTGATAGCTGGGCAAGGGACAATTGCCATGGAAGTCCTAAACCAGGTAAAAGCTTAGTTAGTTCTTGTTTAGCCACTTACTGGTAATGCTGTTTGGCCGTAGAACCAATTGTTTTATATATACATATAAAACTGGTTATTAATAGACCTATTTATACTTTATATTCTTTTCATTAAAGGTTCCCTTGGTAGATGCACTGGTGGTACCTGTAGGAGGAGGAGGAATGGTTGCTGGAATAGCAATTACAGTTAAGGTAAGAAAACAGCTTCTGGAGGACTCCCCACTTCAGGCATAGAAGAGTTTATTTTACATCATAGTACACTGTGAATACTTGCTCAGCATTCCCCCAAATTGCCATTCCTTCTCATCATCCCTTGGCACTTGAGATAGAAGGCCCTTCTCTTCATCACTACCCTTTTTTCTTTTTTTTGGCCGCGCGGCATGCGGAATCCTAGTTCCCAGTGACTGAACCTGTGCCCCCTGCAGTGGAAACGCGGAGTCTTAACCACTGGACCGCCAGGGAAGTTCCTCACCACCCTTTCCTTAATGAAAACTTTACAGCACAAAAGCCATTACAATGAGTGGCACCCTCACAGTCCTCTGAGTTCCATCTCACCAACCTACTATCCAAATCAGTGGCTACTCTTTTCCCAAGTTACCAGCAGAACCAGCTGTGGTCTAGGCAACCAAGGCCAGAGTGGAAAACAATTTCAAGTGCTTAAAGGCCTTATTTCCATTACATCGATTAAAAGAAAGCCTCTTGGGCAGAAATATGTTAACTGTACTAATCATTTTACTGCAAGCATGCAGGCAAAATGCTGTGGCTAGTTGTAAGCTATCTAATATTCCTCTTCCTAGGCTCTGAGACCTAGTGTCAAGGTATATGCTGCTGACCCTTTGAATGCAAATGACTGCTGCCAGTCCAAACTGAAAGGGGAACTGACCCCCAATCCCTATCCTCCAGAAACCATAGCAGATGGTGTCAGATCCAGCATTGGCTTAAACACCTGGCCTATCATAAGGGACCTCGTGGATGACGTCTTCACTGTCACAGAGGATGAAATTAAGGTGAGGCCCCAAGAGGAAAGGAAATAACAAAAGAATGGAGCAACTAGGCAAAAAACCCTCCTGTTTTAAGTAGCAACTCACCCACTAGGGACTCAACTAGGTGATTTCATGACACATAGGAGGGTGCCCTAGATGTATTAAGACCGTAGAAGCAGAGTTGGAATGAAAAAAGCCCTGCCCTTCATTGGCAAGCACAAACATATAGCAATAGGAAAATTCAGACGAGGCATATTATATCCCCATCTGGCCTTTAACTATAAAGGCCAACCAACTAGGCTCTTTCCCCTTTTCCCATTTCACTAACTCTTACTCCTTTCTATACCAACAGTATGCAACCCAGCTGGTGTGGGAGAGGATGAAATTGCTTATTGAACCTACAGCTGGTGTTGGAGTGGCCGCTGTGCTGTCTCAGCATTTTCAAACAGTTTCCGCAGAAGTAAAGAACATCTGTGTTGTGCTCAGTGGTGGAAATGTAGACTTAACTTCCCTAACTTGGGTGAAGCAGGCTGAAAAGCCAGCTCTTTAGCAATCTGTTTCTGTTTAATATGTGCAAAAGGAAGAAAAGGGATTCAGTGTCTAGACACTTGGAAATTTTGTCTCCTGGTCATTGTCAACTTCCTATCTTCCCCTCTTAAAGAGCTTTCAAAATCCTAATGGAGGATGTATATTTCAGTAAGTTTTAATAGTTTTTTTGGACTAAGTTGCAATAGAAAAACATCCATACTTAACTGAGATACCTTGTCAAGGCCAAGAAAAGTCTTCTGCTAAAAGGAGCAGCAGACCTTAAGTAGGCTTAAGTAGAAAACATAAACTGCCCCATCACAACCTACAGGCTCCCAACCCTAGAGTGCTAACTAGTAGCAATGAGACAGAATCCCACTGAATCCATTATTCCATGTCCATTTCAGGCACTGTTGAAGAAATCTCACTTTTCACCCAAGGTACTGGTTCTGGTACATATGGATCATAAGTCCATTTGGGGAAAACTCTTTTATAGAGGTTCATCAGTACTGTGTCCTGAGATTTTAGCTTCCCATCAAAACTGCACTTCATGTGGCCATGAGTACCTACAAAGAAAACAGCATGAGTTGGTCAAATTCAATCGGAAATTTTAAAGCAGTGGTCTAACCCAACAGTCATTTAGTAGCACTGGGGAAATCTAGACAAGATCCCAAATCCCACATTCTCTTACCTAAAGGCTCCTTGATGTGTCCCCTACGGCCCCACTTTGTTCTCAGTTCCACCGGTTTAAACCACAGCACATCCTCTTAGAATCGAACACACAGAAGACCAAGATGAAACATTTATCCATAATATATTAAATCCAACCTTCATCCCACAAAGGTAATTGGATCCCATCTGTTGCACCTACCTCTGTTGAAGAACATGTAACGCACCACTGCCATCTTAGTAAAAATTTTGAAAGGATGACCACTCAGAACAACTCTCTTGATGACCATTCTGTCTGGATCCACTGACAATAGATAGCCTGTGGCAATGAGGCTGTGCATTCCTAAGGGGCAAAAGCAGGGCAGCAGGAGTCCATAGGTCAAAGCCTTCATTTATTGTCCAGTCCATTTAAAGACCTATGCGAGATCTTAGGGAAACAAAATAGGGATGTACTATGCTGCCTGCCCCTCCTGGGTTCATGGCAAAGATCACTAAGTGATAT